ATGCGTGTCAATCAGCCTGCGAATCAAATCAAGTACAAGGAATTAATTCACACTATATCCAGAGTACTCATCGTTTCTTAGACTGACGAATGTCTCAATCGTCCGGCTCAAGAAAGGGGGCAAACGATTCGAGGTAAGCAATCTTGACCAGACAGTTGGAAGTCGCCTCCTAATAATTAACTTTCACAGATTGCTTGCTACAAGAATAAAGTACAAGAATGGCGGAATGGAGTGTAAGCGCTCTAAGCAGGCTGTGGCGCTGAGCATCTGATGACTCTGCCATGAAGAGAAACGGACATTGACGACGTTGTCCAAGTCAACAATGTCTTCGTCAATGTATCGAAAGGCGAAGTTGCTAGGTCAGAAGATCTCAAGAAAGCATTTGGAAAGCTCAGCACCGATGACATTGTAAAGGAGGTTCGTGCTGCCCGTAATCACTGAGCAGACTCTAAGGCTCCCTTTCCCTTATCTTTTAGATTCTTCAACGAGGAGAAATTCAAGTTGGTGAGAAAGAGAGGGAGCATGAACTATCGAACCTCTGGAAGGAAATCGCGACTTTGATTTCAGAGAGATGTGTAGACCCCGAAACTCAAGGGCCTATTCCTGTCGGAATGATTGAAAAGGCTATGCATGAAGCAGGATTTAGCGTAAAGCAGGGTAAGACAGCCAAAAGCCAGGTGCGCACCCTTTATTAGCTCAGTTCCCTGAGAACTAAAATGTCATATAAAGTACTCACTGTTTCTCGCGCTTCCTAGACTGGAGAATGCATTCGTTTGATTCAGACCAACTCAAAGCTACCCATCCAGCGCGCTCGCATGCGGATAAAGGTAGTGATTGCCAATGAGCAAAGCGAAACTGTGCGCGAGGAAGTGCTCACCAGTGCAGAAAAGGTGGAGGAAGAGGTGAAGGGTGAAACTGAATGGGAAGCTGTAAGCTCTTTACTACAAACAAGGCCGATACAAAACTAACCACCCTCTAGACACTCCTCATCGACCCTTCTCAATTTAAGGTGCTCAATGAACTGATTCAAAAGAAAGCAGATGGGAAGGGTAGGCTTGAGACATTAGTCTTCGCCAACGTTGCAAACGTTGCATCGACGTCTAGTGCATGATTTCACCCCTTTCTTCTGTAATCTCAAGTCACCCAAGCCAGCTATCTTATGTCTCAATTCTTCTGCACAATCTGAATGATATTATGTGTATGTTCACCAAGAAACAAGAATAAAGATACGTATGTACTCTGCCCATCAATCACTCATGTTGGCGAGCCTATGTCTATCAGCAAACCCTTGGAGCCAGGCGTCTGATCTCTGAGAAATTTCGGACATGACCAGTGGCTTGACTTTGTTATCCCAGTTATCGTTCCACGTACCCCATTTCCGCTTCGGTCGAGAGGATGGGGATGTAGCGCCTTCTGAGAAGCTAAGTCGAAGTCTTTCTAGTGGCTCACAATCCGGGAAGCCTCTCAAAAGGGTCTATTCATCAAAGATTAGAATAAGTTGAATATTCGGTCCAAGGGAAAGCGTACCTGAAGATGGGATGCTAGTTGATCAGAGTTTTCAAAAACGAGGCCGTTTTGCCCATCCTTGACCAGTTCATTCAGACTTCATATAAGGTTAGAAATTAAAAGCGGATTTAATGACTTGGATTAGCATACCAAGCAAAGTCCAATGCGCAAACGGGTAGATGGCAGCCAAACATATCCACGATTTTCATCGGAAGATCCAGCGCAGAAGAGCTAGAATGAAGCGAGATACCAAGATCACAAGAACCTGTTAAATGATGAGAGATGTCACCAAGTAACGAAGCAATGATACTGACCCAATAGTCGAGGGTAATCGTCTGGCTCTAACCAGAGGCTGATACACCTCACCCATTGCCAGTTTTCCTTTCTCTTTATCTCCTGCAATTCTTGCATATATTTCTTCCGCAGTGGGCCCTTTCCGGTCACAAACATGAC